TTCCAAAGAGCTTAACCTTTTGTGTTTAATCTGGTTCAGTTCATATGAACCAAGGTTCACTCTCATCTGATGTAACTTACACACGAAATACGTACTGAGAGCACTGCTGCTGGCATCCAGAATGGACACCTGAAACGTTTCCGAACAGAAGCATTGCTCACCTTTGATCTTTTGTGATCTTCGGAGGAACTATTGCAGCGAAACACGTGTGGTAGTTCCCAGTAGTAACGATTCCATATGCTGAGGCCTCTGATCAGCTGTTGGCAAAAGTTTTAAGAGCATTTAGGGAAATTGCTGCAGGCTATAAACTGGGAGGAGGGGGCACCAGTGCCTGAAGTGGGGGGCATGGTGGGAGCCGGCCGCTTTGGGGTCTGAGGGTATGAGCATGTCTGCACCTTCGGCTCTGTCCAGTTCCCCACGGAAGCTTATGCCAGCTCAGTCCTGGTCGCTGAGAACTGAGTCTTAGAAGCTGTGGTGTACAGTGCTGTGATGGACACCAGCTCTCGCCTCAGCAGGGGTTTGGTGTCTTTCTAAAAGCTGCATCTCTGACAGGGACTAGCTGTTAAAATCACTGGTATGTATGTCGGCAAGTTTGTTGTCTGTTGTTTTTCTTTTTAATCACTGGATGGTAACAGTGCCAAACCAACTTTTTGTCAGATATGACTTTTTCTATTATATTCCTGATGGAGGCATTCCCCCATAATCAGCTTGCTGGTTTTTAAAGAGCTAACGTAGTAGTTCAGACTGTAAGATGAGCACAGCTCTGAAGACACAATGATAGCAATGCTGTGCAAGGAAAGCAAAATACTCACTATTCAGGGTGACTTGGGAGCATCTGTTTGCTCAGCTGGGTGAGATGAGTGGTGGGATATTTCTGCTGTCTGGAAGAACTGCGGAATGTAAACTGAAACAAAGTCACTGCTTAATGTTTTTCTGTGGGTTTCTCTTTCAGCTAGAGAGACTTAAGAGAGAATGCAAGTCCAAAAAGACTTCTGCTAAACAAATAAAAGACAGCAGGTTCCCTGTTAGTGAGGTTAAAGTAACAACTACAGTAACCACAAAAGGCAAGAATGCTGGTCCCATCAAAGTGAAACCTGGAGAGAAGAGTCGGAAAAATCTTCAGTTGTTGCGAGACATGCAGACCATACAGACTTCACTACAGAAAGATGATATCAGCTGGGACTACTGACTCTTCTGCAAAGAGTCAAACTTCCTCATGTTCTGGATATAAAGCAGCTGCCTTTCTTGCCATGTGAAAGAGACTACTGTATGCTAAGTGCACTTTTGAAATACGGGCCCTGAATTCTCCATCCTTGGGTTTGATTGTGTATATTATGGCCGTTTAAAACACATTCCACTTTTAAGGTACCCAACCACCGAATCTGAACATAGGTCTCCCCCAGGTCCTTCCGTGTCACGGTTCCAGCAGTCCCTCTGTTTTCTTTCAGCACATCAAGCACCACGTGTTTCTGTAGGTTGGGGGGTGTGAAATGACCTGTGGACTGGGAGGCTTCTCAAGATGCATCTCCTTTGAAAAGGATGCTGCGTCCCCAGTTCTGTCTGGGTGCAGCTGCAGTTACTCAGGCTCCGTGGGTGCCTGAGGGAGAACAGGTAGACCTTTTTAAAGGTGGCACATGGAGCTCTTCTCAACAGCTGTCCTAGTTCCTGCTCTGCTACATTGCGTTAGTGAGCATGGATGGCAGTGGATGTGAGAGTACTCAGACAAGGAGCAAAGTAGCTTTTCCCAGTTATTTTGCTTAAGGATTGACTGAATTATTTTCAAGCCTGAAGAGGGAAATTTTCCTACAGAAATCCTACTTTATGAAAAAGCTGTAGGGTAGGGGATGATAATATCCCATCTCCTAGTCCACAGCTTTGGGTGGTAAAGAAGTGAGAGAAACCACAAGTGTTTTAGACTGCAAGTGCCTCAATCATGCCATTCAGTCCTGGCATCTTGCTTTTAACTTGAAATACGTGCTTTGATGAGCTATTTTGGTAGTGGTGCAACTCATTTTGCACTCTTGACTTGCACAGCTGAGTAAATGTTATTTATTATGTTAATAATGTAAAGAATTTCCTATTAATGGAATGTATAGAAGACCCAGATTATCCATTTATAATAAAGCCAGCTTGCCTCTTGAACGAATTGTGGGAAAGCTGCACTTCCTTTAAATCAACTTGGAGTTTGCTGCAGCGCTGTGCCCTGTCCAGTGTGCTTTTTGCGGTGAAGTGACATGGCCCTGGTCAGGGTGATGAACTCGAGCTGCCAGCAAACTGCAGGTAAGGTGAGGCTCAGTTGTCCACCTTTGCCTGTAGCTAATGGGCAGGGAAGTGTAGGGTCAAGGCAGGCAGGAGGGATTTGAGTTGCAGTTACCTGTAGGTGATCCACCCTGCTTGCCTCCTTGCATCTGATGCACAGAGGTTTTAGCTGTGAGGGGAGAAATCAGAAGGTGTTAACCAGGCCTGGAGCCATCCCCCTTCATTGATGTTAGAGACACGGGCTCCAGGTAGCTGGAATAACTGCTTGGAGAGCAGTTCATCCCAGAGGTTCCTAAAGGTCAGTAGCTGAAACGACACTCAGTAAGGTTGCTTGGGAAGGATCTCTGGGAATTGGCTTGCTCAAAGATGGGTTCATGTCAGCGTTACATCAGGCTGTCTTAGACAAGCTGAAGATGCAGCTGCTTAATGATGGAGGGTTCAGGAGTATCTGAGGCTCTGTATGTGCTGCATACAGTGGATGAAGTGCCCAAGCTGGAATTAAGCCTGCTAGGGGTGAGAGGTTCAAGGAGCCAGGCATTGAGTTCATCCCAAATCTTCCCAGTGAATTTGGGCTTAACATGAGTTATAGAGAAAATGTGAATCCTCCTTTTACACAGAAGTTACTTTGCTAATGCACTGTAAAGCACAGAAACTTTCATTTTTTTTAATTGTGAAAGTATTTTTGTACTATTGAGCCGCTAAGCACTGTATCTGTATGAATACTGGTCTGGATAGATAAGAGAAACTTGTCCGAAGATGAATTTTGTTTTTCTGTCATTCTAAATTTCAGAGTTTTAACACTGGCATCTTGCAAGACCATCTGCAGAAGAATGAGATTTGGATTCAATATACTAAATTTTCAGTGCTATATATTAATGTTTGCATGTCCTAGAAGTCCTTTGGAGAACCACACAGTTGAAAATAAGAGCACAGGAACTCTATTGCTTTATCAGTTTTTATTAGTGTTAAGGAAACCAAACAGCCTTCATCAAGAAACAAAATATACACACATAGTCAACTTGCTAGTAGAGAATAATACTATGAACCATCTTACATAGTGATTGTACACAAGAGCAGGTCCGCCCTTCAACTTTAAAGCAAATCCAAGTCCTTCAGAAAGTGTTTTGTGTGAATTCTTTGCACTATTGAACCATGAAGGTGTCAGGCCACCCTGTACGAAATGCAGTGATGCCATACAGCCTCTTGTTCTGTCGCAAGGTGGCTGTGGATTTCTCTGTAAGCACGGAGACACCGGTTGCAAGAGAGCAGGCGGAAATGGAGACTACAGGCAGAAATTACTGTTACTGCCTCAGAAGGAATGTGGCTTTCCAAAGGCAGTTTCTTACGTGTAAATTGGTCCACTCTTGTACTCTCAGAAAATACTTGTTCTCTATCGTGGAAGAGAGGCTGAGTGAAGCAGCACACACCTAACTTCCTTTGCTGCAAGCCCCATCTTCTGCAACCCCATGCTTATCTGTTTGGAAGAGCACTGGAAGTTTCACCATGTGTGTCTTTCATCTCCACTTCTACAGTAAAATTTTGTATTAAAATTTAATTTGGACTTAAGAATTAGCATCACCTGACTAAACTTGAAGTATGCTGTGAGAAAAAAGACCTAAACACAGGGCTCAGAAACTGGCTAAGCTGTTTAGTCTACTGGAATAACGTTCCGTAGCAGTTGCAATGCAGGCAGAAAGGCTTCTTTGGTTGATCGACAGTAGCTTCCATTAGTTAACAGAAAACTGAAATACCTTGAAGTACGCCACTATGATCCTGCACAGAAGCATTAAAATCACTGATTACGCTTACCAAGCAAAATGAAATGACTGATCCCAGCAGTTCACACGTGCCCCTTGGTATTCCACCACCTACCTTTCCCCCGACGAGTGTGAGGCACTGGAGGACAGAGGAGCTGCAGAAAGCCCGGGGGAGCCATGCTCTGCTTCCCCCTCAGGAGTAAAGGTGCTCAAGTTGCATCCTGGCACACCCAGTGTAAACCGTAAGTGAGACTCTGAAGTGGCGGAGATGGGAGTAGACTTTGTCCTACAAGGTCAAGTCTTGTAGGTTGGCTCCTCTACCACTGTGTTTTATTGATAGGAGCTGCCCTTTCTTTAAATAAGGCATCATTTACATGGCTTCCTCCAGCCTAGAGCCAAGCAAAGGGAGAAGTGAGAAGAACGGTGATATGTTCAGACGGGAGAAGTGAGAAGAACGGTGGTATGTTCAGACTCTACTGCTGCTTGTCCCTATGTCTGTTGGCAGAGGCTCTCGTTAACACTGCTGTGCAGGCAGTGATGGTGGAGGGTTTCGTGACTTCGCAGCTGTATTCTGGGCTCCGCTACAAAGTCAAGAGTCGATATTTCCTTTTAGCAAAGGGAGATTTTTCAAACTTCTGATAGATGTTTCTCCTCCATTCTGTGCACTTCATTCTAGTGCACAGTCTCTCTTTAAAGCCAAGTGATTTCCAGCACATAGTGAACAAAGAGCGAGCTCTAGGTTTCTTTTAGGTGGCGAGTGCAATTAGCTTGTATTATAATCTAGCCACTGAGAAGGTTAGTTGCATAGGGGGCCTTGTTTGTTTTTGTTTAAGCTTCCTCTAGTGCTACAGTACTAATAAATTACCCTGGAGAGAAATAAATAAATAGGTTGGCATCTCCCAGGCACCACGCTGGAAATCCAGAGGGTTTCAGAAAAGCTACCCTTATGGTCCTGGGAAGGTACTCGGCAAAAAAAAGTCCATATTATACAACTGTCTGTACAGGAGCAACGCACTGTGCGGGAGAGCCGGCTCTCTCCGAGGATGAGGTGGAACGGTTGGTGATTTCTCGCTGCAGTTCCTCCACTTTCTTCTGCAGCTCGGCCCGCTTGGCAAGAAGCTCCTTGTAGCGATTGTGGACAGGTTCCTGCAAGAAAACACATAGCTGAGTGCTGGGAAGGAAACATGGAAGGTGAAGCCTGAACCACAAAACCTTGTCGCTGACCTGGCACCCAGCTATGAGGGAAGGAGGGGTGGTAGGTGGGTTAGGTCATTGTCTCCAGCCAAGGAGTAAATGAGTAGTTGCTCTGGCTTTGGGATACTCAATTTATCCAAGATGCACAGCGCAATGGTGGCTAAACAAAACTTAAGTTTTGAAAGATGACAATTACAGAACTCTGATCTCTGACATTTCTGGGGGATACTGGCCTTGGCAACTCAGCCTGGCCATAATTCCAGGGCTTTGGGGAAAAAAACCCGTACAGATTTATCTAAATATTTTCACATAATTCTGACAGTTAAACAGTTAGTACTGAAAAGCATTTGTTGGGTTCTTGTATCTAATGCCCCAGATTTGCAAAGCTCTGTTAACTGCTTGGATACTGAGGCAATCCAGGAATACGTCCCTTCCTATTAAAAAGTGGTTTCAGCATTTAGGGCCGTGTTGACTCCTTGTCTTGGCTGCCTGCCCTGGACAAGCCAGTTTCCTTCTGTCAGAGTTCAGGGGTGTAACAGGGCTGCAGTCAGACCCTTGTGCCTCCGGCAGCCAAAACAAGCAGCGAGTTCCTATTGCCAATAATCTAAATACAGCCCCAAAGCTTATCTCTGGAATCCCACATCCAAAAAAGACTCAGGTTGTTAGACTCTTTTGTAAAGAAGAGAGAATTCAGATGATTTTCCCCATTTCCAAACTTCTGAGCATCTTCAGTTCCTGCACATTTCACAAGGTGGCAACCTCCAGCTGACCACCCGCCCCAGCCAGCTGGAGGTGCTGCTCTTTCATTTGCTTGGGTTTGAATTTTAGACCTTTGTTCTTAGATTGCAGCAGCAGCAGCTTCAGTTTGTACATTACTTATAGAATGAATCATAGAATGGTTAGAGTTGGAAGGGACCTCAAAGATCATCTAGTTCCCACCCCCCTGCCATGGGCAGGGACA